CCCAGGTCTATCACCATGCACTAAAGTCAAAGTGGATTAAAAATCTAAACATTAAAACAAAAACACTAAATCTCCTGGAAGAGAAAGTAGATGGAAATCTTGAAGACATGGAGTAGGCAAAAATTTCACGGATAAAAATCAGTATTTGAAATAATTAACAACTTGGACTTCCTGTTATTGTGAAGTTTCTCCATGTCAAAAGAAATTGCCAATGGAGTGACAAGACAACCCAAAAAGTGGGAAAAAAATCTTAACTAATAAGCATTCAGAAAAAGTTCTTCTATCTAGAATTTATCAAGAACTAAAAAAAATTTGGGCCCCAAAGTTTAAAGACCCAATCTTAAAATTGGTATCTGAGATGAACACACACTTCTCAGAAGAGGAAATACAAGAGGCAAATAAATACCTAAAAATACGCTCCATATCACTAGCCTTCTGTGAAATGCAAATTAAAACAACATTAAGATACCATCTCACCACAGAAAGAATGGCTGTCATAAAGAAATCAGCCAATAACAAACATTGGAGAGGCTGTCGGGGGAAAAGGAACACTCCTCCCTGCTGGTGGGAGTGCAGACTGGTGCAACCATTTTGGAAATCAGTGTGGAGACTCCTTAAAAAGCTATGACTGGAAATCCCATTCAATCCAGCTATCCCCTTCTTGGAATTTTCCCAAAAGAACTGAAAACATCATATCATAATGATGTATGTGTGCCTATGTTCATAGCAGCACAATTTGTGATAGCCAAATCTTGGAAACAACCAAAATTCCCATCACCTGAAGAATGGATTAGAAAGATGTGGTGTTTTTATACAATGGATTATTACTCAGCTATAAAGAAAAACATACCCAAAGCCTTCATAGGTAAGTGGATGCAACTTGAAGCCATACTCATAAATGAAATAAACCAGACCCACATGTGTAAATATCATATTGTCTCCCTAGTGTAAGAACTCAGAAGAAGTAAAAATTGAAAGGTATAGCACAGTTAAATGGAAACCGAGAATTTAAGGTTTAAACAACAAAGACAGAGAAAGGAGAAAAGTTAGAAAATATAAGGGCAAAACCATAAATTTATACATACAAGATGGTCAAGGCAATGTTCCTAAGAATTTCCATCAGGTTTTAGAAAGTAGCAGTTAATGGATAGAATTCTCACCCTGACAAACTCTGTATGCTGATATCTGTGAACTAAGCAAGTACATTGAAGACAGCAATGTACAACACTAAAACCTTACTTGAAATATCTGTCATTTTGGTCTTCTAAATGTGTACTACTTCTAATGTTATATCAATTATTGCTATACTCTCTTTAAAGTAAATGTTTGTTTAAAAACAGTAATAAAGAAAATTATAGACAAGAAAAAAAGTCATAAGAATGCCCTATGACAGTGTCACATATAGTTTGATTTCTGAATTTCTGTGTAAAAAAATGTAATTGTTTTTAACATTCTATAGGGATGTAAATTTTAGAATATCCATAGTTGTTGGAAAATAATAATTCCATTTATGTCTAAGGTGTTTGATATTCAGATAGATAGTAATGTTAAGCTTAACTGCCTCTGTTACAGGATAATAATATCATTAAGCTTCTCTTCTGGGTGTTTAACAACTAAAGTTTGCAGACCAAACATTAAAGAGATAGATGGGCTAAAAGGATAGCCAATATTTTGGCCCTAGCCCTTCAACATCAGTGAGGACTCAGGACATAAGAGAACCTGTGCTGTGACATCCTGTAGCTCAGTGTTGTCCCAAATTTTGTGATCAAGGAGATTATGGGGCCACATAGGCAGGTGATCAGCGATGTAGAGTGTGCCTAAGGAGAATCATGTAGAGAGAAAAAAAATCTTTCAGGATTTCACAGAGAGCAAATGGGTCAAGCAATGGCTGTGACTCATCCAAATGGCAGACGCTGACAAAAGGTATACAAACTGCTGTACATGGTTCCAGGGTAAATCCTGAGGAGATTTGACTAACCTTGTCAGATAGCAAAAGCTACATTTTTAGTTATATTAGGTCTTGCTTTAACTTGGTCTTAATCATCCAGCAGAAGAGTGCTACCATGAGGTATAAAAAGTAATGCCATATTAACATGCTAAGGTGTGAAAGGCTCAAGTCAACAACTTCTGACAATTACCAGTTCTGATAACTCACTACTACTATGGATTATTGGACTACATTGGGTTATTTTAAAGTTCAAGTACCTGTCAAGCATGACAAGGTCCTTTAAAGACTTCTCCAAATGCAGCTTCTCTAACAGCAATGGAACACCCATCTCTGACAAAACAAAATAAATTAAGGGGGATATGTTGGGAGCCAGGGAAGCTAGGAAATTGATCAAATATGTATAGGTGGGACTAGGCCTCAGTGCCTAAAGCAAACAAGCTACCTCAGTCCTGAGCTAAACATCCTGTTTTGTTAAAGTCAGCTATTATTCACTAGGCAACCTTGTGTCCCATGTTACTAATTTTTCAAAAGTACAAATAAAAGATGGTTTTGTTGTGGAAAAAAATAAAAAAAGAAGAAACTGAAAGAGTAAGTAAAATCCAAAAGCTACAATAGATATTGTGAAAGAGAAAGAAATTG